GGTAAATCTGGGAGGTACCCAAAAAGTCGACTTTTTGGGTACCTGCTTTGGTGATGATGGGTTGGGTCATCGCGAGAAACCGATCGATTCAGCAGATGTCCGGGCGCTGAGGTGACTTTTTGGGTACGTGCTTTGGTGATGGGGGGTTGGGTCATCGCGAGAAACCGATCGATTCAACACAAGTCCGGGCGCCGAGTCGACTGTTGGGGCGCTGCTTTGGTGGTAATGGGTTGGGTCGCCGGGAGAAACCGATCTTTTCAGCACAAGTCCGGGCGCCGACACTTGTGGCACTTGATTGTATCCGAGACCATGGGCAGCGCCCTTCTCCCGCAGGAAACGCACAACACAAACACCGGCTGCCTCTCACCCGACAACTTGGGTGACGGGGGCTCTTCTCGACTCCTGCATTTTGCTCAAGGGGTGCTCCAGGAAACCCTACCCTCCCCACATCCGGGGCAACGTCCTTCCTCCTACCGTGGAACCACCCGCTTCCACACCCTTCCGTCCCCCCCCTCCCCCCCGGCCTACCGCACTGCAGGCATTCCGCCACGCGCGCGCGTGCCACCCGCATGTACATGGCTACGGTCTCTTCCCTTGCTGGCGCGAACACCTCGCCACCACCTGCCCAAGCTTCCGTTTGCGCTGCTCCGTCCTAGAACCAACACGCCACATGGCGCGGATACGGGCGCCTGACAGACACGCGAAACTTTTATCAGAGCCTTTCACGTTACCACGGGCACTGGCCGGACCTCGTCCAGCGCAAAATCTAAACAAAGCCTAGAGCATTCCTAGGAAAATTCCAGGGCATTTGCCGGGAACACTGGATTCAAATAGGTTAACAATAGATTAATCAATTTTTGGGGAAATCTGGGAACCTAAACACAAGAGGAAGTCCTAGAAAATTCTACAACAATGGAAGAAAATAGGTTCGCAATTCTCTACGCATACCTGGGAAATCCTACAACTCCCTTTTACAACAAACCCCGGGTCCGGAAAGGTCAAAAAGTAAGGTCTGAGTCTAGGTCCAAGGCTAAGGCAAGGCTATGGCTAAGGCTAGGCACGGCAAGGCTACGGCTTAAGGCTAAGGCTAACCATAGAGCAAGGCTAGCGCTAAGGTTCTATCCCTTGGGGGTCGGCGGCTGCAGGCGGTAGCCTGGTAAATAATATCTTCATACAGTGTTTATTCATAGTTCCAAGTGGCCGTGCAACAGAAAATTGACGTGAACGGGCGACGTGAGGGGAGCTGCGCGCCCCGCGGAAGAGCCATGGAGCAAGGAAGGAGATCAGCCCTTATGAAGGCTTTCGGTACAACCCGAAGAAAAGAAAAGCCTGCCCAACACCAAAAACAATAAACAAAAACACATCAAAAGACCTGCCATGCTATGAAACAACACAAGAAGTGCACAGCAGGCACAGCAATGAAACATAATTAATGAAACCACCAACGGTGAATGTGGACATCAACGTCACATCTACAAATTTCCTGTTGCTGTGCAATGCATCCTCGGTGGTTCTGCGAGCGCCGCTCAATCCACCTTGCTAGCTTGATGGAGGAGTCTACCCGATTGGAGGACGAGCTGTGGGCGAAAGTGCAAAACAAAAGCACCACAAAAGCGTAAGATAGCACCATTAAGTGTTCGCTTTGACCTTTTTGGGATTGACGGCGAATCAATCGGTTCAGCATGCTGGAGAGCGGCTGTGCTGACTTCTCACGACCCAAATATGTAATTTCATGTCGTTCCCACTCTTCTTCGGTGGTTGCGAGGCCCCACGTCGATCAACCCATGACCTTCGACCACTGGCCGGACTGCGGATATATAAAGCATCTGCCACGCGGACTTGCACCTGAACAAACGGCTGAACAGGAGCAGCCGTCTACATAACAACAACCGACTCAATTACAACAAAAACATTGTAAGACCTGTTGCACCCGTGGCCAATGGCCACCGAATCGGTCGACCAGATTGGGACGAGCTAAACTGAGATGAAGCAAACATTCACTAAATGTCTTCGGTTTGTTCAATACCCTGATCAGAACATTTCACCACATGGTCCCCTCTGCTAGGCTTCGTGTTCTTCTGGCCACACCTCTCGCTCGAATGCAGACGGAACCTGCAACGTCTGTTGGAACCCCAGGCTTCTTTTCCACTGGGACCGCCCCCACTAATAGCGCCTCTCGTCGCTGGCGATCTCCAATGCGGCGATGACCTGGCTTCTCATGTTTCGGCGCATGTATTATAGGTCCCGTGGTTTGAGGGTTGCAAAACCATGAATAAAACACTCAGCCGTCAACAAAACAAGTGTAAAGCTTTTGACTCGATACCCTTTCAATCCTTTTTTCCAAAAAGAAGCTGCAAACTGCCTTATTATGCGTCCTTATGCACAATACATTCTCCAGGTACAACAAGCTGCTTCTCGAGAACATCCTGCTGCAAGTTACCGTCTAACAATGCCACTGCAAAACGCTGCAACCACCACACGCTGCACGCTGAAAGAGAAAGGGAAACATACGGAAACAAGCATGACCCCGTCAAAGAGTGTTAAGAGCTGCTGGCAGGGCAAACAAACTTGTCGCCCCTTCTGCTAGTTGCATAGTTTTCAATTGTGGGCAAGCAAGTGGGTCAGTGATAGCTACAGCTAGTTACGCAGCTAGTTGGCAACCACACACTTTGTTGAATTGTTTCTCCTTTCAGTCGGCTTCGAGACTTCAGCAAATCCTCTTTACAAATGAAGGAAACTCCACCGGACCCTTATTATGTCAATAAACGCAGGCACATGCAAGGCTTGAGCTGTTCAAGCACTCGCGCTGCCTGCAATGAACACCAAAAGTAGTGAATTTGCAACCAAAGTGCATCAAAAGTTGCAGTGTGCAACACTGAATTTGGCTCAATTTGGCTCGTCTGGCTCTTTCAACCTGGACAGGCGGTTGTATCCTTGTGTCGGAGTAGCCACTGCCTGCAATCGCCAGCTCATCAGCCAATTCATCGCCAGCCACGGTGGCCCCAGCCACGGCCGCCCCAGCCACGACCGCCCCAGCGACGGCCCCAGCCACGGCCGCCCCAGCCACGGTGGCCCCAGCGACGGCCACCGCGCCAAGCAACGAAGGACCTGCCCCAGCCGCGGCCCCAGCCACGGTGACCCCAGCGGCCACCCCAACCACGATGACCCCAGCGGCGACCACCCCGCCAGGCAACAAAGGATCTTGCATCGCCAGATTCTGACGACTCTGGTGAATCAAGCTCCTGTGGTTCCATGTCATCCCAATCCTCGTCACCCTTCCACTGTGGAGGACTTTCCATGGTATAGCTGTATGGAATCCACTCCAATTCCATGGGCTCCGGACCTGTGATAGCAACCTCGCCCTCACCCTCCAGCGGCTCTGAGGCATCTGCTGGCAGGTTGGCTGCGCTGGCCTGTGGCGCAGGTTCCCGTTCTCCACGAAGGTGCTTCACTGCATCCTTGCTCTGGACCGGAACACAGGTGAGTGCCAGGACAAGCACAAAGGAGGACAGCCTCATGATGAGGATGGTCTCTGCGACAAACAAGTCCTGGTGAGAGTCCTCTTGAGCCGGTGTTGCTACCCAAAAGCAGGTACACACGAAATGATCGCTGAGGCTGTATGAGAAAATGCGCAATGATTCCAACGCAATCCAATCAGACTATTAGGCACTGTCTGGTCTGAGCCCAAGCCCCTAATTCTCCAATGTGATTTTGGAGCACACCAAACACTCAGTCCCACCTTGAACTTGGACTCATCTGCCGAGATGCCAAAGGCAGACCTGAAGGCATCATGATTGATGCATTATGCTTCCATGTCGCTATTCAAAAGGAGAAGCCGATCCAAAATAACTGGCAATTGTGCCTTCTGTTTTAGCACCCCCAAAGAAAGAATGTAACATGAACAGCTCACAAGTCAGCCTTCAATTCTTCTGGGAAGGCTTGGGGGCCCAGCAAAGTTTGACTTGAATGATAGCATCACCTTGAATCTTGCAAACAAACTAAAAATGCTTCCGACAGGTCCGACAAGGGAATGTGCATGTATTCAAAGGCAAATCAATGAGAATTGATGCATCTGAGTATAAGTCTAGTATCCCCTCTTCCGTCGAGCAACTACAAAAGGCGCCTGGGTGCAGCACATGTGCCAAGAAGGCATCTTGCCAACACCCTGCAAGCAACACATTTTCCAAGCTTAGAAAATATGGAACTACATAGATCATAGATCCAAAACTGGCCAAACAGACCCCCAAAAAATAAACCTTCAAAAAAGTGTACAGGCTGCTAGCACTGCTGCTAGCATAAAGTCTCTCTCCTCGTCTCTTCTTGCACTTGTAGACTTGGCACAAACAATAACGTGTGCTACTTGTACTCGTGGATTGTACCTGTTTGCACGGTTATAGTTTCACTGCCCAACCATTTTCTCTTTGCAGTGGGCTTCGAAACTTCAGCAAATCCTCTCTACGTATGAAGGAAACTCCACCGGACGCTCATTATGTCAATTAAACGCAGACACATGCAAGGCTTGAGCTGTTCAAGCACTCGTCACTCACCCAGCTGCCACAGAACCCCAATGACGCATCTTTCAGCACCCATGGGCAGTGGAATAGCTTGCTTGCTCTGCTTAGCTCGTTCATTAGAGTTCAAAATTGATGTATTCCAACCAACAAAAATGATGATCATGTTTGCAATCAAACACCAATGGATGCCATTCACCTTCTGGCCCAGGAAGTGATACCAACAAGCGAGCAAGACCGGTATCCAGTTTCCGAATATGAACAGAAACCAATGGATGTATATGGAAGTCATTAACGCTAGGGTCACTAACTTAGGCTGACCGTCATAGGACCCTCACAAAAGAATCTTTAAAAAGAATCTTGAATGCTAAGCTTTGTCAATGGCCTGATGGTAGCTGGATCCAAGGCTTTGAGCGGCCTTGGAAAGTGACCAACAAATGGCCCCGGGTCAACACTAGGTGGCCTAAGTTGACCTACCTGGGAGGTCAACCTACATGGTGGGCAAGGACTCCGGGTTTTGACCCATCCCCAAATGTGTCCTTCTTGGTGAACAAGCGGTCGAACGTAGGACTAGCGGTCCGGCAAGCCGCCTTCGAACACTCCAAGACCCGACTCCTGCGAAAGCATTGGAATTAATGGAAGTTTGCAGGATAATTCATGAGGATGCCTACTGCATGGTTGACACCCTTGTTGAACTACCGCACGGTAGTTCAACCCTTGCACTCGTCTATGGATGAACCACCATGCGAAGGTGATCTATCTTCCCTCCAGAAGACCACGATCGCTCTGCTCAAATCCGCTGGGGCAGTTCAACTGGGATGTCACTCGTTCCCTTGCAAGCAAGCCGACTTGACTTGGCAAGCCCAACAGAAAATCTTACGGATTTTATACGGCGTGGCCGTAGCCTACACAATCTGTAGCGCGACCTGACATGGGCACCCACATCACAGGACTACCAGCAATTCCCGTGAAAGCATCGAGTGGCTCAACCGTTTCAAAATGTTCAAGACGTACGTCTGAAGACACCGGCCATGGTTGAACTGGCCTGTGATCAGCATGGAAAGTCCAAACCCTCAAGAACCTCCTAAGAATTCTCTGCCAACCACCTCTTAAGAATGCAAAGAGGAGGACTTTTGCAACACACCTCTGACCCAAAAGTGTTGAGTTGCCAGCATCGGCGGTCTACTGCGTGCAGGATGCCTTGGTGATGAGAGTTCAACGAACTGCACAAACTGAATATGAATATCCCATAATTTCCGATGATTGAATGATTTATCCTGATCTTCTCGTAGCGAACAAAATTCGCGTCCTGTCTAGAAAAGACCGCGCGCTTCCAAGCAGCGCAAGCATCGCGCAAATAATTCATGCACGACCTATTTTACACGGTGAGCGGCTTTCGGTCAGAACTAATCCAACTCTAGACCATCAAACTCAGTGATGAGGGGCACATCATCTTCATCGATCGTGAAACTCCTCAAGCGCTCCTCCATGTCCATGTCCTCTTCTTCAACTTCAGCATCTGGTTCCTTTTGTTCATAGAGCGAACATAGACCGAGAGGTGAATCTACCCAGTCTTCCTGTTCTTCAAACTCTGCAAACTCGAAGCTATTGCATTCTTCGATCATGGAGCACCACTCCGCACACATTTCCACATCTGCCAGGAAAGTGACACCATGGTAGAACTTGAATTCCTCCTCATCCGTCACATTCTCCGTCTCATTCTCCAGCAGCTCCATTCGCTGCCTTCGCTGCAACAAAGCCACTGCCTGAAGGCTTTTGGACATGAAGGTGGTGGCTTTCAGACACCCGTTGGGTGAGCCCACAGTGCACTTGAACAGCGCATCTTCGAAAAAGCTGCCCTGCAACTTCACCTGGGCTGGGTACATGGCGTCCTTGAAGGCATGCACTTCCACTCCCGGCAAGGACTCCGCGATGTTCTGAGCCAATGGCTTCAGCTTCACATTCGTGGGCTGCTTGCCGGTCGAGCAGGACTCAAGGAAGACGGTGGATCGAGCTTCACCCTGCTCAATCAACATGGGCCGCAAGGCATCTAAAAGCTTGGCAGTTTCGGAGGTCTTCGTGCCAACCTGTGTGGTGAGCAGCCGATCAGAACCCAAAACCAGCGTTGTAGGATTGCCATGTCCCGAGATGGTCACATGCTTGATGCCTTGCCCAAAGACCTTGTCAGACCTCAAAGACTGCGCGAATTCCGTGGCGGCCTTCACGGAGTCGACTCTCTTGAAGACCACGTTGTAGTGTGAGCTCATCTGTAGCAAGCGATAGCACATAGAGCCGAAGCTCTGCGCTCCGCCATTCAAGCCTTTGAAGGCACCATTGTGGTCGCCGGCCTCACTGGTGACCAGGTACAGCGACGTCAACTTGGAGCTTCCATGTTGATAGGACAGGCTGTTTGATCCACTGAACGCATTGTATCGGAAACGCGAGGCAAAGGCAGCCCTCTGCTCGCGGGTGCAAATTCCACCCTTCTTGCCTTGCTGCATGAGCCTAGACTCCTTCATATCCTTCCGGGCCAAGATATCTCGCAGGTGCCTGCCAAAGAATTTGGCACGGGTCTCAGATGAGCTCGAGGAAAAATACCTCCTCCAACTCCTTGGATTTGCCGAAGGAACCTGACAAAAAAAAGTATTCGCAGCAGGGGATTTCAACCATAGGGAAAATACAAAATCAATCAAATTCACCTTTAAAAACCAGGACTCGGATAGAGCCGCTGCGGCAACTCCTGGCGCTTGGGAAAGATCGACCGGCCCATAGGTCGCACCGTGCTATAGCGGTACTTCCCCACGCGTTGCGCCCGTTCCAGCGCACGGAAGGCACGCACGAAGGGCGCCCGCATCGCCGCGTGCACCGTCGCGCCGGCGTTGGCCGTCGGGAGCTGCGGCGCTCGACCGAGGCGCCCGATGCCCAGAGGCACCTGCTGCTGGGTCGGCATCTTCGGCACCCAACGCACCGTCGGGCGGACCATCGTGGAGAGCTCCTCCGACACCGGCAGCGGCGCGACGCCCTGCGTCCGGCCGCGAAAGAGGTTCCGCGCCGCCAGCGGCAGCCGCGCCTCGACCTGCGCCCAGCGGGCAGCCACGAACTCCGTGGCGGCCTGCGTGGCGGTGCGCTGCACCGGGCGGAACAAGGGGTTGTTGTCGGTCCGAGTCGCCACCTCTTCCTGGGAGACTTGTACACGAGTAGCTGAGCATTTTCCAAGCAACACCACCAGCCATGGAAGCGCCACACGCCGAAGCATGGGGCGCCAAAAACGACTGGGCGCTGAGAGAGTATTCAGAAGGCTGAGCTTGAGCAACAGCTTCGTGGAGGCGATGCTTGAAAGCCTATTGAAAGACTCACTATAGGCATGAGCTACAGGAGCTACAGGTGATAAGAATGGCAACCCCCTTGAACCATAAACACATATATAAACCATGTATTCTGCTGTAACTCTTTAGCAGAGTGGATCCTTCATGCTTCAGAGGTGTCCTTCTTCACTTCAGCTCACCCGTCCCTCTCAGTCTCTGACGGCGCCAGACCTGGTGAGACCGGAGCTCGACCGGTCGACAGCGACAGCTCCCGACCCGTCTGGGACTGGCAGTCCGGACTGCCGCCCCGGACCGACCCCCGACTTCCACCACCCCCTGGCCGTCCCAGACTGGCAGTCCCAGATGGCGGTCGTGTCTGGAAGTTGTTTCCTCGTGGTTTTTTTCCCCAGTTTTGTCCGATGTTTTCCTCATCCAAAGTCTGGACGTTCAATTTTGGGTGTGCCTCCCAATGGTATCGAGAACCCTGAAAAGTAGAGACCCACGTAGAACAATGTATTGGAAAATCTTGGAAACCATGTCTATCTATCCCAGACACTCCATGTAGGCATATATGGCATACATGGAGTGTCTGGGTATTGGTTGATGTTAGCTTCGCGTGGTTTCATACTAACGTATGACGCATGGTTCCATCCTGGAAGAACGTCGGACATCCTTCAGGCCAGATGGGAATGGCATTCATCATGGATTGTTTTCTTTAATGAGCTATATATATATATACTGTATATGTATATGTACTAAATGTGGTTGTGTTATATTAGATCTAGATTCTGATTCTAGTGATGTGTTTCAATCCGCTAACATTCACATCTGATTCTGCGACCTTGCAGACGTCCAAAATAAAACAATCAAACAATAAGGTCTTGTGAGCGTTTCTCAACAAAGTTTCTGAAGTGCCTCACACTTGACCTGGTTTTAGAAAAAAGACTGAGTTCAATCCGATTATTCAGAGCACATCAACAAAAACCGGTCGCACCTCGTAAACAATCTCGAAGGCGAACAACTGAGTCCCTTAGGCAAAAAAGGTTCTGCGGTGCAACAAATGTGCTGGAAGGCAAGTGAACAGGCTAACTCGTGTTTTATATATTCAGTAAGTCCTTCAGGGAAAGCCTGGGGGACTTAGTTTCGTTTTTCAGTCATTGGTCGCGTTGCGTATTGCAAGAACACTCGCAACATACATCCGACACAAACGAAAGAATCCCTTGGCCACAAACAGCCGGGATGCATCTGAACATTCATGTGTATTTTGTTCAGAAACAAATACCAGCAGAACGACACCATCAACATCAGCAACCCCCCTGGGATGCAGTGCCATAGCACCATGCCTCGAAGTCTGCTTCTCAAAGAGGTGTCCTGCTTGCGACTGTGAAGTCTGCAACTGCACATCATTGCAGCAGCAAGCCGTCCCACACTTAGAAAACCGATTTCAACAACTGATCAAACAATAGCTTGGTGACAACATGTTGATCAATTTGCACTCGCCCTGTTGGCGCAGAACAACATGGAATATCTATACCGCCTGGGTTGTCACGCTAAATGGCATCGAAGTGGTGGAAAAGCAACTTATTTGTACTATACATCAATGTCCAATGACGTTTGTGACGTCCATGTTGGTGGAAATGTCTACCAAGCAGTTACAGTAAACCTTAAACTTGATGTGGTGGATTACTGGTGGCTGATCTGGAAGAGGCTCCATTCATTCCCCTTCTTGAGCGGGCCCTATTTTTCTATGACCATCGGGTCTATGGGTATGATTCCTTTACCTGTATCAGCCGATGATGATATGACGGTTAGAAAAAGGCCTTTCTCAAAAACAGTGAGAATCCTTTACAGTACGTAAAACAATGGTAGGTGTCTCGCTCCAATAATTATGTTCGGCATGATATAAGCCTTTACTGACTGTTACTTGTAGCGAGACACATCCTACAAGGCCTAGTCTCACCCATTGGCGCCTTGGCGCAGCTCGCAGCTCGCGTCGCCCGATCCACGGTAGTATTTGGAGTCGGTCAAAGCGCCGGTGGCGTGTTTTGTGCACTAGGATTGCAATGGCTGTTCCGGTTACAAAATGACGTCACTAAAAAGGCCTGCGTGGGGCAGGGGCGCATTGTTCCATCAGAATCCATTTTGACGTTGGGGCGAGTTGAACCGTTGATTGTTGAAAGACTGTCGCAAACAGGAAACAAATCGCTCAGTTCAAGAGATTGATTCGGCAAAATCCCATCTGCATTCCGTTCGACAAACAACTCGCCCAACTGACCTCGTTGGGCTGCCCGGCTGACGTCACTCGGTCCTGCCGAGCAAATGAAGGATCGGAAGCGTGTCCATTCCGAAACCAGGTGAATGGCAAACCGGAAATGCTGGGGGTGTTGGGGATGTTCTCAACTTCCTTCTTTCGCCATTCAGAGGAGTAGTTAACAGCTTCCCTCAAGGGCTCTTTTGGGAGGGACAGGACATGCGATTTGCTCGAGGCGAAACATACTGAGGCCAAAAAACAGAATTGACATGAGGGTCATCGGGGAGAAGCATGGAAGGAATACGAGTACCAAGACAAACATGCGTGACACTCATTGAAACTCTTCATCTTTGGTCTTTAAAGGCTAAATTTTGCGGTGGAGCTCTTTTTCACCGACTAGCTGACGGTGAAATGTGGCCAAATCTGAAATCCCGCCCCAAGGTTAAAGCATGCCCCGGCAACAAAATGTGTCAATCTCAATTTTGCTCTTTGAATAGAGGAATTTCAGAATGTCCTAGCTAATGCCACGCGATGCCCGTTCTTCTCATACCTTCTGACCCCTGTTCTTTCCAAGAGATACCAATTAAGCAGATCAACCACGCGCCGAATTCTCAAGAGGCAAATCTACTGGTCACACGCTAGCGCCGGGGAGTTCTGCGCATTCAACACACATGCCCAGGTCCTCTCGACGAGGGGCCAAAAGAAAGATCGGAACGGAAAGGCATCCCCAGATCGACTGCACCAGGTGAACATCGGTGAACATCAGCCCTACAAGTCCAGGGCTGACGCACATCAAAACCCTGGTCGACTTGACCTCCTTAAGTATCGGTGTTGTATAACCATCTCCAGTCAGATGAGGTCTTTGACTTGTAGGCATGCACGCATATTATCTACTTATTCTATATAACATGTCAATTCTATTAATTAAGTATATATACACGTTTCTGATATTGTCCGATCATGTTCGGTCTTCTGAAGAACTATCGCTGCGGTCAGGGCAGGCTGCTCCGTTGAACCTCGTGACCTCGTGCTTCCAATCCTTGAAACGCGTGACTTGGGGGACCCAAAACACGTTCTTACAAAGTGGCCCAATGGCCAATGGTGTGACGTCGTGAACACACCTCGCCACCCCAACCTCCCAAACATCGCCCAGTGCGGCACTGCCCGGAGGGATGGCCTGGCCGCAGGCGTGGTTCTACATCTCTTAAGCGCAAAAGGACAGGTCGAACGGTCGAAGGGTCTGCAAAAGTTCTGTAAGTTCAAGACTTACAAACCAGAGGTGGAAGAACCCTATAGACTGTCCTATAGGTACTCCTGTAGAGTCCTATAAGGTCACTGACTTACAGAACTTGGAACAGAGCAACGTGCTAAGCTAGCAACACCTACGGGACCTACGGGACCGAAGAGAGATGCATGACTGACATGGCAGATCCTGGCACATGAGATGCAACAAAAGTGATCACCACGCGGATGCCTTTCCAATTCTGCTGCATGTCTCGGAAAAACCAATGGGTGATTATGGGTGGGCGTTGCCTTCGGCCTCTCGCCCTTAAAACAAATCTCAGGACTCTCGATCCCTATTGGTCTGGGCATCTCATCGACGTGAGTGGCCTCTCATCCTCACCCTCCGGGCATCGTGGGAGTGCACGGCATGGGGCGCAAGGGAATGCCTTCCAGCTGTGTCAGGCCGTCGTACTGCGACACGAAGATCACCCGCCGGTCGGTGTAAACGTAGCTGGCGTAGCACTCGGGCGCACCGTAGCCGCCGAGGTACGACCAGCCCTCCATGTAGCAGGAGGCCTCGTAGGGCGTCAGCACCGTTTTGCGCCGCTCCTCCGGCACGCGGAGCGCCTCGGCGATCTCCCCGTCGTTGCCCCAGCCCCAGTCGCCGAAGACCACGGCGTCCACGCGCTCGTGGGGCTCCAGAAAGCTCAACAAATCCTTGACGCCGCTCTTCTGGTCCTCTTCCCAGGTCATCTTCTCATGCACCAAGAAGAGCTCGGAGCCATCCACGACCCCGGCCTCTGCGAAGCTCTGTGCATCCTGAAGCAAAGTGCCTTCGAAGGTGAGCTGGGCCTTCGTTCCAAAGGGAAGACCGAGCTGACACTTCAGGCCCAGGATCCGGCTCCCAGACTCTACTTCATGCGACGTCTTCTCTCCCGCCATGTTCACCACATGGAGCGTCCACTTGGGCATCTCCGGAAGCAACCTCTGAAGGCCCAGCGCCCGTGGAAGGGCTGCGGAGCCCGTGAGGAGCCCATGCTTGTCGAAGTGAGGAGCCAAGGTCCTTAGCGTCTGCAAGCCCTCCTCAGGCACCACGCCCGCCTGGATGGCCTTGGCCAAGGCCTCACAGACCGACTCGAAGGAGCACACGGCACCCTCACCGAGGATGGCCTTCACCTCGGCCTCGCACCGAGGATAGCCTTCCTCCGGCGTGAAGGCGTTGTTCAGCACTCCGGCAGTACATTTGAAGAGCTTCCGCACGGCGGCGGGCTCCATGCGCGGCTCCAGGGTCATTGGTTTAATGATGCGCAGTAGTAGTATATGGTCCTTTGCCAGGTTTTTGGAGCATGCCAGTATATATGAATGTAACGCTCTATAATACAATTTACTTCTAATGATCGGACATGTTGAAGGCACTTCATGTTGGCACTTCTGGCGATTCCTTTCTTTCACGTGATTCCGGCTTCTGAACCGGAAAGCCCTGCAGGACTCTTTCGCTTGCTCAGCGGGGGCTTTCCGACCACAAGTTTGCACGATCCGATTTGTTTAAATCTCATCAACTGACTTTCGAAGTTCCTAATATGGACCACTTTCTCACTCTCTCCTTACGCTCACGGCGGCCTCCTCATCGACGAACCAGCTGAGTCGGCCTGCTGACTCGGCCTGCGGGTCGTGGCTGAAAGCGAAGAGACCCAGCTCAACTGGGCGAACGTTCGGACAACGCATGGACACATGGAACGAGGAATTGGAAGATGGTTGAAGCAGCTGAAGCATATTCATGAAACCCTGTGCTAACATGTGCCAACAGGGTTGACTTCGTGACGGCCCAACATCGCCATGATGGCCAGGTTCCACCATCGCCAAAAACGGCACACCTGCTGAGCGGTTTTGAAAGGCAGCAGGTTCCTCAAGGCCACGGATACCTTTGTGAATTGTTCCGTGAATTATAACACATCGTCATCGCTCATGTTCCCATGTTATCCGTGCCGGCCTGGCCAGGCTCGCCGCTCGTCACAGGTGCCTACCCGGCCGCTCATCGCACGAGGGTCGCGGCCTGCAGCCGGTCTTTCAGCGCGCCGGCTCACCGCTAGAAGCAAAAGGACGATGACCTGCAGACTCCAGACCTGTCAAGGAAGTCGAAATGTTGCCCTGGCAATCCAATCATGTACTATACTCGTCTGAACATGCAGTATCTATACATACTACATGTCTTGGGATGAAATCTTGCTGAATTCACCCTACTTTGGGGGTATCTCATCAACTCCTTTTCTTCCAGACGTCCATTCAGAACCACCATCCTGGTCAACACGTCCTGCCCATTCGCAGGTGCTTGGCTTCCTCACTCGCCCGGACCGCCATGCACCGCCTGGCGGAACTGGGCTCGAGAGCCCTGTAGACCCCGCGCAGGTGGACCGAAACCAGGTCGTCGATTCCCTTCCGTTTGGACCGGTCAAGCAGGGTGAGGCCGAACACGCACGCCCCGGAGGGGGAACGGACCGCACCACAGCAACTCCGCACCGACCCAGGCTCCGCACCGGCACGTGTTGGCCGCAGGATGGAGATATACGTCCACGTCTCCGAACGGATCGATGGCCCTAGATCATACCCCAGACACGACGAATCATGGGACTGCCATAGATGCCGACATTGACCCCCATGGCACCACCCCTGGCCGTTTTGAAGGCAGTCGTATGGCAGTCCCATTAGTCATGTCTGGGATAGAATTAGTCTTGTGTGTCCTCTCGAACTTGGGGATGTCTCTCCATGGTTTCTCCATGGCTCTCGAAGTAATTACACGTTGTCCGCAAAAAGAAACGAACTGCTCTGACTGCAACCCCAGTTCTTCAGACCTTCACCCCAGTTTCGG